TTACCTCGGTATTCTCTTTTGCTGATATCTCTGCAAAATATCTGTTTGTTAGCTGACAGCTCAGCAAAACGTTATTTGTTAGCTGAGTCTCGGCAATTGTTTTACTGAATCTCAGTAAAATAAATTGCAGAATTACTCGGCTGTTGGAATCTCGGCGAAAATATTTAAGTGTGTAGACGTCTTAGAATTATGAATTCGGAGTTATGATCGGAAAACAGACCCTGGAGACCATGAACGCTCCTCTGGAAAATAAAAGACAACTCATCAGAATGAACTCGGAGTTGTGACTGGAAAATGGACCCCAGGGTCCATTGGATGGTCCTTCGGAATATCCGGAACATCCATTAAAGTGTATAGGTCAAGAAAACTGATCTAAGCACTCTATGGTTTTTTAGAACTGCTCATAGACACATTTTTTTTTTATTTATTATCATGGATGATTTCTAAGTGGTATTTAAATAATTAATAACTTTTAGTGCTTTCTAAAAAATCGTGGAGCTCAAGGATCAATTTCATGAATTGAGCACTTTTAGGGATGTTCCGGATCTTTCGGTGGACCATTCTGTAGTCTCCATATTCTTATTTCTGAACACAACTCCGAATACATTCTGACAAGACGTTTATGAGTGGTTCCGAAAAATCCGTAGAGCTCTAGGATTAGTTTAATGAATTGACCACTTTTACGGATGTTCCGGATCTTCCGGTGGACCATCATGTAGTCCCCAGAGTCCAAATTAAGGTCACAACTCCGAAGACATTCTGATAAGACGTCTATAAGTGGTTTGAAAAATCCACGGAGCTCAAGGATCAGTTTCATGAATTGACCAATTTTCTGATGTTCCGGATCTTCCGGTGAACCATCTCGTGGTCCGCACGGTCCATATTCCAGTCACAATTCCGAATTCATTCTGATAAGACGTGTATGAGTGGTTTTGAAAAAAACCGCGGAGCTCTAGGATCAGTTTCATGAATTGACCACTTTTACGGATGTTCCGGTTCTTTTAGTGGACCATCCTGTAGTCCCCAGTGTCCATATTTCGGTCACAACTCCGAATTCATTCTGATAAGACGTTTATGAGTGGTTTCTAAAAAACGCGGAGTTCTAGGATCAGTTTCATGAATTGACCACTTTTACGGATATTCCGGATCATCCACAGGATCAGACTTGTATCCTACCGGAAACTGAATCGTCCCAAAAGGTGGCCAACTTTCTGCTTAACAACTTCTCAGAAGACATCAGGAAGTTATCTTTTCAAATCAGTAAGATTTTCAAATTTTCAACTAAAAAATTTCAACAATGTTATTGTTTTGTTGACATCGTTTGACAGTCCACTTGACCGAATAATGTCAATTTCGTGCGCGGTCTATGCTTAGAATTGTTAGGAAATGTCAAAGTGCATCTGGTACCACTAACACTGTTTATTTTCGAAAAAGCTTTCGTTCGAACGGGTTCGTACGAAAACCAGAATGCCGTTTTCGAACTCGTTCGAATCGAGTCGTTCGAACGAAAGTCCGATACGGCCGTAAACAAGAATAAGGGTGATAGTGTAATAGCAGGAGAATCGATTGACACTGATAGCTCGACTTTGTTTACCTTTGTTACATTCTTTTTTTCCTTTGGTTTGTTTTTTTTTTCGTCGATCTTGTTTTCCGTGCTGAGCATCAATGCTACCGACGTGCCAGGAAGGCAGCTCCCACACCTGGACCCTACCTGTCGACCCATCAACTCATGAACCGGGGACCAACGGCTTTACTTCCCATCCGAAGGAAGGCGTGATCAGAGATGTTATGCCTCAGAACATCCGGCGGCGCCGACTGGGATTGAACCCAGGCCTGCTGGGGTGAGAGGTAATCACGCTTACCACTGCACCACCGGCGCCGTTGTTTTTTTTTTGTTACATTCGACGTAATGAAAATTTGCTCTTGAATATAGTCACAAACGAAGTGACAGACGACTAACTGCCCTAATAAAAAATAACCATAAACGAACGATAACCCAAATCATTGAACTATTCCATAAATGGTTTGGATGATACCCAGAACACGTCGTTAAGCAAATTAACCATACAATTTTTATTAGGGTGGCGAAGAAATCCATTAAAATAATGTGGTTCACTGTAATAGAATTTTCTTGGAAGTTTGTGCCATCATTCACCAGATGGATTAATTTTTTTGTTTTGATTTGAACAAAGTTGATTTTGTGTACAATGATTCTTTGACAGTGTGCAAAGAGTGTATCATTTTGAGATTTGAGTCTAGCTGCCCAGCAGATCACAGGCGCAGTTGAAATCCGCCGGAACAAAGCTCTTCACAAGCGCGAAGCTGCGAAGAGAATCCAAATGTTATTTTTCCTGTCATTTTAGTAAGCACTGATCGAATTCCACTCCGTTATTCGGACTTAGTATAATTTTGACGAAAATTTTAATCGAATCAATGTATAAATTTTGAAAAACCATAAAATGCATAAAATTTAATCTATATTCGTTTTGTTATATTTTTGAGTGCAGGAGAATCGATTGACACTGATAGCTCGACTTTGTTTACCTTTGTTACATTCGACGTATAATGAAAATTTGCTCTTGATATGAAAACTTTTTTCGGTGTTGTCTACGTTTGGTTGTTCTTCTTCTTCTTCTTCTTCTTTCCTTTATTTAACGTCGGTCTCTGTTCCGCAATCTAGTGCCAATCACCGACGGACATCGATTGCCATCCATTGACGGCAATCGAATGTGCAGGAAGGCAGCTTCCACACCTGCGTAGGATATCGCACCCATTCAAACACACATATGGGCCGGGACCAACGGCTTTACTTCCCTTCCGAAGGAAGACGTGACCAGAGATTTTTATGCCTCAGAAAAATCCCACCGACCTCGGCTGGGATTGAACCCAGACGCATTGGGGTGAGAAAGCAGTCACGCTTACCACTACACCACCGGCGCCGGCCAACACGTTTGGTTGTTCCGCCTTTTTAATTGTTGGTCTATAGAATTGTTAACTTTTCATGATACACGCTAACTTGAAAGTACCCATTAGTGGTTGAAAAAGACTCATTTTGAAGAAAAGTGGCTTAACTCATTAAATGAGTAATTTTTTTACCCATTAATGAGTATCTGTTACCCATTAATGAGTAATTGTTAATCATTAATGGGTAACAGATACTCATTAATGGGTAAAATTGTTTAATCATTAATGAGTTAAGCCACTTTTCTTCAAAATGGGTCTTTTTTTACTCATTAATGAGTACTTTCAAGTTAGCGTGTAGGCCTTTCTGACATGTTTACCTGAGTTGCCTGTTTATACGCTATTTCGAAACTACTCAAATTTGGGTAGAATCCACCCAGATCCGTCAAAACTGAACCTACCCAAAAATGGGTAAACTGTGTTGGGAGTTGACAAATGAACAACGGCGATCGGATTGATGTCAATGTTGTTCACATACCCACGCTAACTTGAAGGTACCCATTAATGGTTGAAAAAGACCCATTTTGAAGAAAAGAGGCTTAACTCAGTAAATGAGTAAATTTTTTACCCATTAATGAGTATCTGTTACCCATTAATGAGTAATTGTTAATCATTAATGGGTAACAGATACTCACTAATGGGTAAAATTGTTTAATCATTAATGAGTTAAGCCACTTTTCTTCGAAATGGGTCTTTTTTTACTCATTAATGAGTACTTTCAAGTTAGCGTGCACGCTAACTTGAAAGTACCCATTAATGGTTGAAAAAGACTCATTTTGAAGAAAAGTGGCTTAACTCATTAAATGAGTAAATTTTTTACCCATTAATGAGTATCTGTTACCCATTAATGAGTAATTGTTAATCATTAATGGGTGACAGATACTCATTAATGGGTAAAATTGTTTAATCATTAATGAGTTAAGCCACTTTTCTTCAAAATGGGTCTTTTTTTACTCATTAATGAGTACTTTCAAGTTAGCGTGTACGGTAACCAGCGTTAACACATAAATGAGTAAAAATATACACATTTTTTAAATTTATGTGCCGCTGTCAAAAAATGTGTAAATTTGGAGATCTTAAAATGTGTAAAAAAAACACACATTTTAAGAATGTATTACCAGTCAAAAAATGTGTATTTTTAAACTCATTAATGGGTAAAAAAAAACTTCAAATCTTGCCACATCCTCCTTCGTTGATGCACGACATTTGCCAAAGCGAAAAACTTTCAGCAATTTTAACTGAAAAAATAAGAAACTACGGTCCAAACTGTAACAGAGCAACGGTGGACAAGCTAGAGGGTAAGTAATTTATATTATTTTCATAGCTAAGTCCTAGAAAGGAAAAATAAACATTAAGGTTTTCATTGTCCGGTGTCTGGCTGCGATTTTTTTAATAAAATATTATTGAATCCGATCAATTTTCATTTAATCCTTGACACAAATAAGAAAACTCCGATATTAATAAAAAACCATGTGTCCTTATCATATTTAAATTCTTTGAATGATTACTTTTTACACATTCTGCGGTAAAAACCGTTCTTGAAAAATGTGATAAAAAATACACATCTATTGACGTTTGATGGGTTTACACATAAATGTGTACACGCAGTTTACACATTTTATGAGTAGACCCCTTTTTTCACGAAATAGAGATTGCTAAAGTATGATTGTGTCAGTGATTTGTTTTCATCGGGAAAATTTTCTGCTATGAAGTTTTTTTTTCCCGATGAAAACATTTTGCGTATACGTATACATGACGTAGTGTGCGTATGATAAACGTCAGCAATCTCTATATGTGAAATTATACACATTAATGTGTTTACGCTGGTTACCGTGCATTTGTCAACTGGTCACTCCCTGTCACTCCCAACACAGTTTACCCATTTTTGGGTAAGTTCAGTTTTCATGGATCTGGGTGGATTCTACCCAAATTGGGGTAGTTTTGAAATAGCGTGTACACTATTCAACAATGGTGAGTGTCGCAACACTCCTAAAATGACAGCCCTGGTGACGATTCCGAGGACTACAAATATTGGCCATGGCAGCTGCTACCATTAAAAAGTGATATTCTACAATGTTGATAAATGTCAAACAGGTTTTTTTTGTAAAAAATAATCCTAAATTTTAACAAAATTAGTGCAGTATGAACAAAATAAGATTCAATAACACGGTGGATTAATTCCACATACAAAGTGATTTGAAAATACGGTGCAGGAGTGAATAAAGCAAGTGTTTACAGAGTTGATGAAAGGCGAAAAATAATATGGAGGAATTCACAAAAGCAACTTTTCTACATAAAGAAGTACCAATACGTCAAATATGGGTATTATTGATTCCTACATTGAAAATTTGTACGAGTTTATCGCAGTTGGAATGGATTGCCTGCAATTCTCGAGATCGACAACGGGAACCTAAGGTAAGTTCAGAACCGTCATACACTAATAGTCGAACTTGGTCCCTAGTCATAAATTCCAATATCATGCAATCTGTGTGTGGACCCAGCACGTAGTGAAAAAAGGAAAACCGGACAGTTCTGATGTTTACGCTCGTAGTGCTACTCCCTCCTGGATGTCAGGATGCACTTAATGTTTTTATTCTTCTGAAATTGCATTTTTGGCTGGTAGTTATCATATAGTATAAGTATATATAAGTATTATTCTTTCCTATAGTCTTCCAATATTTACTTTTGTCTTAGCATTAATCTTATTGGATTGGAAGCATCAACAAATTACCACAAGACATTGCATTACATGTAATGTCAAATTCCGCAAGCTTTATTATGTCTTCTTGATTGACAATCGCAGTATATATTTATTATCTAGGGGAAATGGATGTAATGTCGGCCTAAATGCTCCTAATTTGGGCCCATACATAAATTCAGCAATCGACTAAATTTTCAATAGCGACCAAAAATACCCACTAGAACCATCCCAATGACGCGTTCATCTAGATAAAATTGATAAATAGCAGATTTTTAGCGATGAGCCCAATCTTAGATCCATAGGCCAACATTAGGGCCCCTATATATTTTAAAAGTCAATTTTATTTTAAACTTTAGGGTTATATGCAGTTATGTGTTGTAGATTTAATACGTATATAATGAATTATAATTAAATTATATTAGATTGATGAAGCATGTTTCAATACAACATGTTCTTCGGATACTCACTGAAGAAAGGCAAATGGACTGTAATTTAATATTTATTTTTATTGAAAAGAAAACACATCTTCACCGCGCGAGTACTACTACTTTAATCATTTTTCTCTTCCTAGTCTCCTCTCTGTTTCCGCTCTTGACGGCCAAACTCTCCACAACTCCTAACAATTATCGTCTACACTGAAACAATACATTTGTCGTTTCTTTTAGTGTAACATCCTGCCCCCGGTGAGGCAAGGGCCTCACTTCGCCTTGGATCCCACTTGATCCATGCAGTCATCGATTGGTAGAACTGCAATCTGTGTCGTCGGTCGCTTGTACGTGTTGTTGCTTGTGCGGATTGTGACCACACGTATAATCCCGTCCTTTCCTGGATGCGTTTCGATGATGCGACCCAGTTTCCATGTTTTAGGTGGCCAATCAAGACCACCAGCAGCCCATTCTGCAGTTGTGTGGAATCCTTGTACCATTTGCTACGCTTCTGTAGCCCTGTCACGTACTCATTTGACCACCTCTGCCAAAAATGCTGCATCCGTTTCTGCACCAGCTGATACCGCGACAGACTCGTTTCCTTCAGGTCCTCGTAAAGCGGTTCTGCTACTGCTATTAATTCTCGTCCAACTAAGAAGTGTCCAGGGCTCAGTGCTTCATAGTCGAACGGATCATCAGTCAGCTGTACAAGTGGTCTTGAATTCAATATGCTCTCTATCTGTATCAGCAAAGTATTCAGCTCTTCGTATGTCAGGTAACTCTCGTTCAAAGTCTTGTGCAGATGAGACTTCATACATTTCACGTTGGCCTCCCATCACGGAGGAAGCCTGGGGGGATTAAAATTCCAATTTATTCATCTCGGCTGGCAGAACTCGTTCACCTTGTCGCTCAAAATCTGCGACTGCAGTAAATTAAATAACTCCAAAAGCTCTCGATCTGCTCCTCGGAAATTTGTTCCGTTATCGGAGAACAATTCCGCTGGATTTCCACGTCGACCAACAAACCGGTGGAGTGCCGCCAAGAATCCATCAGTTGTCAATGAACTCACCAGTTCGAGGTGAATGGATTTGGTGGCCATACAAACAAACAGACATACGTACACCTTCACCTTTGCTCTCATTCGTCCGATCTTAATAAAAAAGGGTCCCGCATAGTCCATTCCGGTTCTTGCAAAAGGTTGGGCTGCAGTAACTCGACAAATCGGGAGGTCTCCCATATACTGCTGTATGTCTCTGGGGTTCATCCGGAAGCAGCGTACACATTTCTTCAAAACCGGATGGATGGTTCGTTTTGCATTCACTGGCCAGTACCTTTGTCGAACCACTGCGAGGAGTCCATTTAATCCAACATGAAGATGCTCTCGATGCAAGGCTTCGACGAGGATCTCTGAAAAGTGGTTATTTTCATGCAAAATCATCGGGTGCTTCTGATCTTTGGGTAAGTCAGAGTTCCGTATGCGACCGCCAATTCTCAGCAGCCTTTCGTCGTTGTCGTACATCGGATTCAAGTTTCGCAGCTTCCCCTTGACTGCTTGCCTTGTCTGAATGCAACCGATTTCAACTTTGAAGACCACCTGCTGCACAATGATCACCATCGCTCTCTGTGCCTCGTTGTAATCTTCATTGCAAAGCTCTCCTGTTCTACGTTTAGTCTTGTTACCCTTGAAGCTGCAATTATGAATGAAACGGGTAATGTACGCAAAAATACGCTGCAACTTGCGATAGCTGCTGTGGTTCAGGATTACGTCATACGGGTCACGCTGTTTTTCCCTGTGCAATTGCAGCAATCAGTTTCTGCGGTACGGCAACTGCTGCAATTTGATGGAGAGACACCTGCTCAGCATCTTCCGGTTCCACCAACCCAAGTTACCTTCCTCCTCGACGGTAATATGAAGCACACAAGGACCAGACCACCATTGTTCACAACGCATTAGATCTGCCGGGAAGACTCCACGGGACACCAAATCCGCAGGGTTATGTTGCGTCGAGATGTAATGCCACTTGGTGGATGTAAACAGCTTTCGAATCTTCATTACGCGGTTTTTAACGAACACGGGAGTACCTGTCTTCATTTGCTTCAACCAGCTCAACACGATTTTCGAATCCGACCAAAGCACAACCTTTGTGGTTGTTAATGCTAAGGTTTCGCGCACTTTTTCCATTTGTTCAGCTAGCAGCAACGCAGCACATAGCTCAAGCCTCGGGATCGTCATCTCGTCAGGCGTTGCATCCACCTTGATGTCTCGTTGTATCTCTTTTATCGGGGCGACCCTCGACTTGCCGCAAATCAGCTGAATTTCTGCTGTCCCATCACTCTTCACGCTTCTCATGTAAATGCAACACCCGTACGCTACCTTGGAAGCATCAGCGAACCCGTGCAACTCCAAAGCAATTGTTTTTTTTTTTTTTTTTATTAATTAACTTTATTGTACAGGTTCAATCGACTAAACTTTACAGAGCCAAGTTATCATTTGCGTTATACATAATTGATGTCTTACACCTAGATTTAAAGGAACTAAACCGATTACTCGCGGTCATCTCGAGAGGGAGGAGGAGGATTGAGTTATGATTTACGATACAAATATTTCATTATTCCTAAAACATGAACTTATTCCTATTCAATTTGGTATCCACAGTGTAATTATACAATTATTACAAAAACAAACATTAAAAAAAAACCCACACGAACAAAACAAAAACTAACACGGTTAGTCAAACTTACAATCTAAGGTTAATATTCTTAAAGAAAACATATATAAGTTTCATAAACTCCAGATCGCGTCTACCCAAAATATCTCGAACTGGAACATTAGGTTGTCTACCTCGAGCCCGAAGGGAATCGTACAGTTCAGATCTGACTCCGCGATGCTCAGCATAAGACCAAATAATGTGATCTGCGTCCTGGTTACCTTGTCCACATTCACAGAGATTGCTGTCCCCCAGCCCAACACGGAACAAGTGCGCGTTTAACGAGTAGTGATTGGACATGAGGCGAGACATCATACGAATGAAGTCTCAACCCACATCCAACCCCTTGAACCAAGGACTCTTCGACACCTTAGGGATGATCGAATATAGCCATCGTCCCAAACTTCCTTCGCTCCATTTATTCTGCCAGCTGACGAGTGACTGTTGACGATAAATGAAGAAAAATTCATCGTTGGCGATTTGTCGATCGTAAATATCGCCTTCCATAGCGCCCACCTTAGCAAGTGAGTCCGCCATCTTATTGCCCGGAATCGAGCAATGAGATGGGACCCATGCAAAGGTGATGACAAAAGATCTTAAAGATAAAGCACTTAGAAACTCTCGTATTTCATGAGAAAATACTAGGAGTGCTTTACCGGCCTCATAGAGCGAATAGCCTCGACAGAACTGAGACTATCCGTAAAAATAAAATAGTGATCTGGTGGAAGTGAGGCGATCGTTTCTAGCGTATAGTATATAGCCGCCAGCTCAGCAATATATACGGAACAGGGAGCTTGAAGCATTCGAGAGGCGCTATGAAATTTGTTATACATACCAAAATCTCTATTAATGATCCATCTGTGAAGAACGATCTTGCGGAATCAACTTGGCCAAACTTTGCAGCATAAATTGACGGAACAATCATGGAACGATGATGTTCTGGGATCCCACGAATCTCCCGCGTCATAGATAAATCTAAACTAACTGAATTGCCGAAGTCGGAGAAGCATACACGATGAGGATTATGCTGTGAAGGGCTGACATCCAGTGTTATGTACACGTAGTACAATGACATAAAACGAGTTTGAGGGTTCAGCTCAAGAAGCTTTTCAAAGTTTTCGATTACCAGTGGGTTCATAACTTCGCAACGGGTGAGAAGCATGAGGGACAATTCCGAAAACCGATCCGATAGTGGCAACATGTCCGCCAACACTTCTAGACTCATCGTATGAGTCGAGTGCATGCATCCTAACTCGATACGAAGACAACGATACTGGATACGTTCCAGTTTGATGATGTGAGTTTTAGCCGCCGACTGGAAACAAAAACTACCGTATTCTAAAACCGATAAAATCGTTGTCCGGTACAACGTTAGAAGATCTTGCGGATGAGCTCCCCACCACGTTCCGGTAATTGTTCGGAGAAAATTGATCCTTTGTTGGCATTTTCGTCTCAGATACTCAATGTGGGATCTCCAGGTGCATTTTGAATCGAACCAGACCCCAAGATATTTAAAGGACATAGAATGAGTGATCGGTTTACCCAAAAGTTGAAGCTTTGGTTGTGCTGGGCTATGCTTCC